CCTGCTGAGACTTATTTTATTTTAATCTAGTGAGAAAAGATCCTGAATCACCTCCCCAAACAACTTTGTTAATCCTATGCAAGACTTCAGCTTTATTGTATGTGTACAGAAAAAACCCTCTTCATAAAAGCCTTAATGGAGGGTGTTAAGGTAGATTCCCTGTGGCAGTGGGATCCCCCAGGCTGTGTCAGGATTGAAGGGAAGTTCCTGTTGCTGGTTGGAGCTGAGAAAGTCTGATTTCAGGGATGAACAGTGAATGGCAGGAGGAGAAGAGAGGCTGCTGGTTCTCTTCCTGCTGGGCTATTTCTATTGATTTTTGCAAAGAGCATTACCTTGGAAGAGGAGACTTTCACTAGCTCTATCAATTCTGATGAGGGATAACTGCCAAAAAACTGACAGCAAAAAATTACAGTCCCTGGACCTTGATACTGCTGAGCAACAGACTGCAGACAGGGATTACCTGGCAACTTAGAAGAGAGGAATATTCCTGGAGTAAAAGTAGCAGCCAAAAAACTCAAACAGGTTAAATACGAACAAGCTTAGTCTCAATTTCATTAAGATTTGCAAACCATCCTGGAACTTTTAAAAGAACTCTGAGTTATGATTCAGCTTGCTAATGACAATCAGAACTGAGTGTCACTTAGTTTCATTCTTTTTTTTCCTGGAAGGCTTATTATCTGAAAGCCCTACAGCTATAACTCACTGTAGCTATTTTTCATAATTTCTATGAAAGATCTCTAAGAAGTGATCCCATCTATCAGCTGGCTTTTTTTCTCTAAGTCAATCTTCTCCATCCTCCAAAGCCTTAAGCTGGGGCAACTGTTAATGCAAATGTCTGATAAATTGCATTAAAAGCAGGCTTCCTCCACAGAGGGTCTACCTGTCAACACCTAGACTGCACTTCCTGCTCCTGTTAAGAGAGCAAAAGAAGTAAAGCTTCAGAAGCACTAACCACTTGATGTAGATAACTTGGAAGAGTTAACTAGATGCTTCAATCTAGTGGATATTTTTATGGAGTGCACTTCAAGCTCATACTTCTATTGTCTGAGGAAAGGTTTGCTACAAAAAAACCCCAACTAAGAATATGAAATTATAATACATCATCTACTCTATGGTGACTGCCAGTGTGAATATTCTTATTTCATAATATCTGTGAGCTGCTTTTATTGCAGTAAGCTATTCTGCATTTACTTAAAAGGGTCAGGCTGGCAATCACTGCAAAGCAAAAGGTATTAGAGAACTAAACCCCTTCTTCAGGATAATTTACTGGTATAGTCATTCCAGAGAGGAATGATCTGGTCTGATCCTTGGGACTGGACTACATTAGACCTGACAGATGTTCCAGTGTAACCCTATTTCACAAAAATTATTTAAAACATTTTTTTGAAAAGTGTATTTTTAACATTGTCAAAAAAACTCCACCTAATAATCTCAATTTGGTAAAAATACTCCACACAGTAGCTGTATTTATGTGAAAGAATCTGCCTAAAAATACACCCTTGCCAAAAAGAAAAAAGAAAAGAGAAGGAAAAAAATCAAGGGAAAAAAGAGCCATAGCTAAGGGGCACACTTCTCTATAAAGAATTAACTGTGATACCCATGGGGACAATTAACAATGGATTCCTTCATTTCTGGAATATTTCCTAGGTATTATAAAACAGTTACGAAGAAGCAGAGTTCACTGAATAAAATGAACAATTTACCAACATCTCCTTTGCTATTAATCTTGGTATTACTTTGTGCATATCAATTTTTAAATATCTTCCCATACCACTTTTTTTTTTTTTCCCCGCATGGAAGCAGTCTATAGATCATCCACTGATGCACTTGAAGGAAGAAATAAAAAATAGAGAACATTAATAATATACATGTGGTCTAGTACCAAATCTAATTATTTATAAGGTTCCTGTCCTAATCAAGGCGGTGAGATGAAAGCAAAAGGCCATTAGATGCACTGATCAAATTAGTCATTGATCTTAACAAACTC